GTCTCTTTTTATGGCTGTCACGTCAGCAGGACCCAGTCTATTTTTATTTGCATTGGAGAATGTATTTGTTTAGACTGTATCTATTTCTTAGGTGACATATAATTTTTTGGGATTGAACCCAAAGGTTGTGGATACTCTTAAATAAATAAATAATATAATGAACAATATCCCAACTTCTTAATATTAAATATTAAATATTTAGACTAAGAAAGGTGTATGTGCTGGAACACGCCGGCGAGGCGGTCCATCTCACGGATCGAAATTGGATACCAAACATGTACATACATGATTTCAAATAACCCTAGGCATGCTCCTAAAGCACGAACAGAGAATTACCTTTTGTTCGAGGCTTTGATTCGATCTGAGCTATCTTCTAGTCTGTATCCCGACCACGCTTGGACGTCGGATGGACGACGATCCTCCAAACAGCAGCAAGGAGCGGATTGGTTTTGTTCTTCTCTGAACCCCTCACGTTTTCTCTGTGTTGGTGTGATGGCTGAAGACGTGATAATCTCTTAGGGTTCAAGAACGTGTGCAATCCCTCCTTTTATAGAGGTCCTTGGGCCAGACTAGGGATCTCGTAGAAGGTATAGGGTTTGGGCTTCCTACGGGCCCAAATTCTTATGTTCAGCCCAGAACACAATTTGTCCCATAAATATTAATTCATTCCACTAGAGAATTAATATTGCACTCCCGTCCTATCCCGAAATGAATCAGGGCTTCTATTAGACTCGACATAATTCCCCGTGTTTAAGATATCGCACGTCCATTAATTATTAAAGCTTCTGACTGCTTTAATTAATTAATATCTTTTATTCCTTAAGTAGAACCACTCAACCTTATTACAGTACAGATTATATCCACCTGCAGGGTTTGATACGATAATCCTTATGAGTTCCTTAAGGGGACGTCATCAACCTGGATGTCCAGGACGCGATTTTCTAATGCCAATAAATAGATATCATGCAAAAATTATTGTTACCCAAGATACGGAGCATGTTGAACCAATACTTGGTTCTCACCCATGGTAAATCAAAGTAACAAACAAATATCTCACATATCTAAGTATCACAGTTAGAGTTAAGAATTATTAGAGTCACCGAGACCTTGGTTCTTCATGACAGTCAGAACAGAAGAACACGTCTCAACTGTGATCCTTTCAATGCGACGCAGTGCACTAGTATAAACCTATAGCCAAGATAAGCTATATCTAGTTTATACTACAACTTAAACCGATAGTCATGTCCATAACAATCTCAGTTGTGAATGCCATTTATATCTTATAAGGGACCGACAATGTAATCTTCTGTGTGACTACTAATACACCACATTGTCTACAATATAAGATAATTGGACATTTAGCATACAAGCAACAATGTGAAAACATTTATTTCAGTCAAATGGGAAATCGAATAAATACAATCTAAAAGCTCACATAAAAGTTTGCTTTACAGTATACTCCAACAGTATGAGATTCTTAAAGGCCTTTTAAATTGGGCGACTTTGGTGGAATATGTAAGACTTTTCACGACTTTCGTCGATATTTTTTTGACTTTTAGAAAATTCTTATTTGAGACCTTTTAAGACTTACATCATGAACTTTTTTAAACTTATTAAGTCTTTTGTATACTTGTAGTTATAGCTATTTTGTTTGCATGAATGTTCATGAACGTAGCTTAACAATTATAATATCAATAAAGTCAAGCTAGTTTTTTCTTTAAAGAAAAATATTAAACCGAAATGAGTTACGATAGTAAATATTAGCTATTCAACAAGAATAAAGAAAAAAAAAATTTGTAGATTAATCATAAAAAAATACGAATCAACCCTAAAATGTTATTCAAACTAATTTATTTAGAACAACCTGTTTAGAGGTTTACGTTTATTAAACGAGCAAACCAATTCGAGCTTTCACGAGCTTCGGCGAGTCGAACTCAGGACCTTATATTTGTTTGTTTAGCGAGCACAAGATCAAACATGTGTTACACATCTCTGCTACAATGACACTTATAATCAACTCGATTAATATAAGTTAGTCTAATTATTGATTAATTTTATTTTTTATTTTTTGCATCATGTTGCAATATTACAAAAATATTATTAGGATAAATTTTTACAAGACAAAATCATTATGGAAAGAAAATATTGTATCTTCTAAAGTTATCAATAATACTCAGATAATTCTATATAAACAAATAAACTCTTACCAAATAAAATAAATATTTTAAATTTTGAAAATAGAAATTTACAAATAAAAAAGAGAGGACAAATAAATTATTGACATATGAAAACTATACAAGCATTTAATCTTTGTAGAGTCAAATTCATAAGCAAGCGAAATTGGAGAATAAAAGTATACACATATAAAATAGGGAAAACTACACTTAACCCACCTAACTATAGGGTTTTTTGCACTTTACCTACTCAACTTTTTTTTTGTGACACTTTGCCTATATAGCATTCTAAAAAATTGCACTTAACCAATTTCCGGTCACCGTCCGGCCATTTCTATGGGCAAAGTGTAAATAAAGAAAAAGTTGAGTGGGTAAAGTGTACAAAAATGTATTGGTGGGTGGGTAAAATGTAATTTTTTAAATTACAGTTAACTGGATGAATGACTGAAAAGTCAATTATGCCCTCAGAAATTTCCGACGATGACCGAAAATTGGTTAAGTGCAATTNGTTCAAAAAATCCTATAGTTAGGTGGGTTAAGTGTTGTTTTCCATATAAAATAACTATAAGAAAAAAATAACATTAAATTCATGATGAAAATAGAAATTATACAAGCTATCAAAATAAATGAATAAAATAACATAGTAGGAAATTGATATGAGATATAACGTCGTATATATTAACAATATAGAGAAAAGAAAGTCATATAAATGCATCCATATCCCACCATTAATAAGCCATTTAAATGACACACAAAACCATTCAAACTAATGCAACCATTCATTTTATTGGTATTAATAGTGGGACCCATGGCATTCATTCAATCTATTGAATGCCATTGAATCACTATTTTATTATATAAATGATAATATATTTATACTTTATCATATATAAAATAAAAATAATATTAAATAAGTAAGATAATGGGACCATACATTTGCATTTAATTGTATGAACCAATGTGAGTTAGTGTTTAAATGAATAAATTTTAGTGGAATGATGATGTGGAGATAAAGTGAATGGTTTTTTGTTTAAATGAATGGTATGAATGCGGATGCCCTAAGTCCAGCAAATCTCACCAATTTGATGAGATTTCTGCTAGGACGTTGTTTTTGTAATTTTGCTACAAAAGTCTATAAAATCTTATAATTTAATAAGTCTCATAAAGTCTTACTACTTTGAATACTGGTGAGTTACAGAGACTCTCGGAAAGTTTTGATTTACAGATTTATAGAAAGTTTTAAAAGTCTCAATTGAATACATGTGCAAATCTTTTAAAAGTCTCAAAAAGTTTTAATTGAATACACAAGAACTAAAAGTACATAAAAGTCTATAAAAGTTTGAGGGGGATGTATTCATTTGAGACTTCTACAGAGTTTTTAAGACTAGAAATTATGATGTATTTAATTTAGATTTTTTAAGATTTTTAAAAGTTTTGAGATATTCATTTGAAATTTTAAATGTCTTGGGGATGCTTGAATATAATTTTTTTTGGTTTTGTTTGGATTTTTGGGTTTGGTATGGTTTAATTTTAAAAAAAGTGGTATGATTAGTTGTTAATGATATTTTGAGTTTATATTAAAATAATATTTAAAATAAAATAATTAAAGTTGATTTGATGTAAAAGTAGAAGATAGATGATGTGAAATGATGATTTGTTAAAATTATGTGAGTGAATAAGTAGTGAATTAAAATTGCCGTAATGTGTAAGAATGGTTGAGTGATATTATTTAATTATATTGATAATATTGAAGATAATGAAGGTGAACAAAAAAATATAATTAATTAAAAATAATTGAATTTTTTTGGACAAATTTGTATCCAAACATTCCCAAGTTAGTAAAAATTAATCAACTTGT